CTGAACACCCCAAAGCTCTGATTTTTGTTATTGACAGCTCCAGAGTGGAGAACTGCCAAGTGTTTAAGGTCTACCAGAATTTATTCTGCTCCAGAATGCACCTGTAGGTTTGATCAGCATTCAGTTCTGTGTGAGTCTGTGATGTAATCTGCCCTTATGCTCAAGCAGGTGAAATGTGATTTACATTACCAAGTAATGTGTTCAGTAATTCCAGTATCTAATTGGTGCATCAGGGGAAGGCAGCTGGTGTGGGAAATACAGGACTAGACAGGTCTTGTGTTCTGTATGGGAACCCAGTATCTGTACTTCTTTAAAAATACTAAGGGTGATTTAGATACTAACTAAAGTGTTGGTAGGATTTCAAGTTTACAATGAACATCAACTAAACAATTTAAGCTCTTGCTGTCAAAGTGTTTCTAAGTGGTGTTTCTAGAGTCCTCAGTTCTATAATGGGACCACTTTGAATTTCACCACTGTCCACCTAACAAGACCAGGCATTAATTACTGTGACCTGAGCTGGCTCTTCATGATGTAACTGACTAATTATTGTGGCTAGAAAAGAATATTTGCCTTCTTTGTATAGCAGTGTGTGATTTACTAGGTGAATTAAGGGGAATGGGGCACTTCCTCTGATGGTGGCCACTCTTCATTGCTTCAAAAGGCAGTGCATGGAATAATATGACCCTTTCAGGGGTTTCCTTTTGAATGATTTCAACTCTTTCGTTAGCAAAACCTTTCACTGAGCCAGAGGGTGGTCAGAGATGGGGAGGCCAAAGTTTAGCCTTCACCGTGCCCTCAGTTTCTTTTGCTGTGTGCAGGACAGCACAAATTGCAGGAGTGATGGCTTTCAGTCCAGATCCTTGGGCCATTTCTCTTCCTGTTGGTGTCACAGTCTCTTCATTGTCTAAAAGAACAGCTTTTGTGTTTTATATGCCCAAGGGCTGCCCATAAAGGTTGGCAAGGGCAGCTGGTTAAGTCTGCACAAGGTCAGTCAGGATGTCTAATAATTGTCCTAACACTTTACCTGTTATGGAACAATAATGAGAGTTTTTTCATTATTTTCGGGTGAGTGAACCTGGCAGATGCTGACAGCCAGCAGATGTGTAAAGTTCGAGGTGATTTGTAAGGGACTGGCTCATCTGACGCACAGTAATTGCACTGTGGGACATTGTCACTCAGCGTCCCGTCCTGCTCTGGCAGGATGAGGTAAAGGTCAGTTCAAAGAGCTGGTACAGCAGGAGGGACAGTGCTGGGCTGGAATTCAAACCTCGTTTTCCTGTCTCCCGTGTCCGCATCCTCACGATGCGCTTGGTACTGAGTTCTAGATTTAGGGATTGCTTGGGTGACAGAATAGTTGTTTTGAGACCAAGTGGTGAAGCGTAGGAAGAGGTGCTTTTACCCACCTGTTGGTATTTTAGTTCTGTACTCATCTGTCCAAGTATTCTTTGATTTTAAGTATGATTTGCAGCTCGGAAGTTCTGTTAGCAGTGGTTTGTTGCTTTGAGCTTAACAGGGTTGCAGGTGAGCTCATGCAGCAACAGGACTGTCAGACTTCTCATCTGCTCCCTGCAGCCCTCTGCACCTAGCTGTCCTCCTCCAAGTACAGCTCTGACAAGTGTTTTTTGCAGCAGAAAGGGTTTTAGCAGTTTGCCACCTGTGACACCCAGAGAAGCCAGCTCTTTGAGCACGCAGGCAAAACTGAAGGTTCCCTGTTCCTGCTCTGGGTCTGGGGCCCATTTTTCTCTACTTGCAAGCACCTAGTCCATTGCTCTTTATCTTACATCACAAATTTTGTTATTTCTCTTCTCCCAGCATCCTCTCAGTCAGCAGTGCTAGAAGGTGCTGTAACACACTCTGCTCCTGGTCCTCATGTGTGAGCATTAGCTGCTGCATCAGCTCAGAAACACAAGGTTTCCTCTGAGAGCCTACAGTACCATCACAGTCTGCGTGCTGAGCACTGAAGGACTGGTCCTGATGTGCATATAATCACAGCAGTAGGTGTGATTGTATCACACAGGGATTTGGCAGAGAGCTCACGGAGGGATTTTTTTAGGGGCACCAACTTGGAAAGAACGGGTGAGCTTTCACTGAAAAAGTTTTTATGTAGCTATAGCTCTTCATTGTAGATTCAAGTGTTTTTGTTGATTTTCCTTTGTTTAGCATTCCAGGATGCTTTTGAGAGCTATCTTTGTGCTTTGGCCAAAGAACTCCTATTTTCTGACCAACTTGACTGTATTCTTTCCAGGCCTTGCTTCTTACCAAGAACTCTGTTTGTTGCGATGATGATTTCTGGTTGCCACAAGGCCAGGAGCTGCCCAGGATATGTCCAATTCTGTCATGCATTTTAGAAGAGCAACTGTGGTTTTCATCTAAAATTCTGAGAAGAAGCTGAATTTGTAATACAGGAAAAGCTGGTCTTTGCTTTCAGCCAGCTTTCAGACCAGTTTGGGCACATTTATTTGTCTGCACAACTCAACGGTTAGCGATGAATTCATTTCATTGACCTTTGAGAAGAGAGGATATATTCTTATTCAACAAATGTCTGTTTCCAGACAATCATGAATCACAACATTTTTTACCTTCAGAATATATATATATTTTTAACAACGGCACGCTGTTAAAAGTTTATGCATCCAAATTACATTGCTTTGCTTTTTAACTACAGCTGAAACCGTGTTTCGAATAACAGATGTGGAACACTGTCATCTCGCTGTCACACCAATTGTTCATTGTTCTGAGAAGGTCACATCATAATTCATTAACAATAATTATTCCCTGTGGACGCCCTGCACTTCTTCACTCAATTGCTTCATTAACTTGCGAGCGAATCTCACATTCACTGCTCCAATCAATGAAGATATATTTATAATGTACAAGTGGATGCTATTAGTTACAATATATTAACTGCCTAATTTAAAATAGAAAAGCTATCTTTATGAAGGGCAATTAAACACTAAGTGTAATTGATAATTCACATACCTATGATTAGGAAAGACAAATAATAAGAAAGAAATGAATCACCTGTGTTATTGAGGAAGACGCTGGCATGCAGCTTTAATGAGCAGAAGGGGCTCTCTGGATCAGAACTGGATTTCCAAGAATTCTTGGATGGAAAATTCTTCGTCGGATGTGTTGTGTCTGGGATTTGGTGTTTGCACCAACTTGTTGGGATCTTCTTTCCTAGAAAAAAGGACCCACACTTCTTGCTAAGAATCAGAGCAGGTGATTTCCTAATAAAAAAGCCATCATTCTTCCTAACACACACACACACACACACACACACACAAAAGAAAAACAATAATAGTTCAGTAACAATTGAAACCTAATCTCAAACTTACCTACGTATCTGAACCTGTATTAGGCCAGGTCCAGGTCCTCAGAGATGGTTGTGTACATAGTCTCGCTAAAACTAACAAAATTTAGACATTTTAGTACATTTGAGGAGCTGAATGAGGGTCCCTTTGGCAGAAATTAAGAAAAAAAGATTGAGATAGATTTTAAAGGCCTCTCTTTTGCAATGACCACATTGAAATATGTTGATTTTCCAAAAGGCAGACAGCTGATCCTTGGAGAACAGACCTTTTCATGATATCTCCTATGGGTCACCACAACTTGGTGAATCCCAGCTTGGAAAGGTGAAATGCTTCTGGTGCAGTGCAACGAAGAATGGTTAGAACATATTATTTTCATGTGACAATGAAAGCTAGATGAGATAATGACATTTCTGCAAACGCTGAAGCACTGTGCAGTGTGTACTATTGGCACCTTTGTTTGCAGGTGGGGAAGCAAAAATTGCTGTGAGGCAGAGGACTGGCATGAGAATGCAGAGCAGGAATGGTGTCCTTGGCTCTGGGCGCTTGAGGCCATACTTTCTTTCTTCCCTTGAGAAGTCAAGAACTTTTTTTTTCTGTAAACATTTATTAATAAATCAATGAAACTGCTCTATTTTTCAGGATTACCCAACAAATAGCAGCACAGGTGTTTTATGAGAGATTGCATGGTAAATGTGACAGAAGCCATCCCTGCATTGATAAAAGCATCATTCTTGCAGCACAGTGTAACTGGCAGGCCTCATGCCTGAAGTCTGCAGAAGTGCAAAGCTGTGCTTTTACCTCCAGTGTAAGTGCTGATCACTGTAGCAGATGACCAATGAGTGGAAAGGTGTAAATCCAAGCTAAAGTGCTAATAGTGCTATTGCACCAGCTCCTGTGCTCATGGCTGTGCAGTTTGTGTGTGCATCCTGGGAGTGCTTTAATGATACAGGTGAGAAAGCAAAATTTCAACAGGATTTGGAGGTTTTTGATACATGGAGAGAATGTGAGCATGGCAGGCTGAGGTATCCTGCGTATCATGTCCATCATCAGTGCTGCCCCCGTGGTGATGTTAGCTCTGCTCCAGATGCCAGTTCCATGTTATGCAGGGGCTCTGCACGTGTAGTGCCCTAAAACTGCTGGGTGACTCACTGCAGCCTTTCAGTACCTAAAGGGAGCCTATAAACAGGAGAGGAGTCAACTCTTTGAAAGGGTAGATAACTGCAGGATGAGGGGAAATGATTTTAGGTTGAAGGAGGAAAGATTTAGGTTGGATGTCAGGGGGAAGTTCTTTACCAAGAGAGTGGTGAGGTGCTGGCAAAGGCTGCCCAGAGAGGCTGTGGATGCCCCGTCCCTGGATGTGTTCAAGGCCAGGTTGGATGGGGCTCTGGGCAGCCTGGTCTGGTGTTAGATATGGAGGTTGGTGGCCCTGCATGTGGCAGCAGAGGGGTTGGAGATTCACGATCCTTGAGGCTCCTTCCAACCCCAGCTATTCTATGATTCTATGATGCTAATTCCGTGTATTGTAGGGATGCCTACATGGTCATGATAAAGGATCCTGCTCCTGTTGTCATCGTTGCATTTTTATTGTAATTATCCACGTTTTATGTGGTTTAGCAAAGCTGATACTCCCAGCTCCTTTTCCACGTCCAATTGACCCAATTAAATTCTGCTGCTTTTACTCGACAGAATCAAGGCGTCCGGCCTAAAGCTGCGGTTCTGCACTAACGAAACACAAGCGACCCGAGAGAAATTCGTGAAGAAGCTGCAGGGCCTGGGCTTTGACATCTCTGTGGCTGAAGTCACCGCCCCAGCACCAGCAGCCTGCCGCCTTCTGAAGGAGCGTGGGCTGAGGCCACATCTGCTCGTGCACGATGGTGGGACACCGCTGGGACTTGGGTGGGGACAGCCCAGAGGGATCTGTGAGCAAACAGTGAAGTCCCGTAGCTTGGTGGTGGAAGAGCTCCTAGCTGTTCTGTTCCTGTTCTTTCTTCAGTCATGAGACTCTAGAAGAGCTGTAACAGAATGGCTTGAGTGTGATCTCCATCAGCAGTGCAGTGAAGGTAGGCTGATGCAGTGACTTGGCAAAACGACAGCCAAGGAAGCCTTCTTTTGCAGGGATATCTTTTTTGGAGCAGTAAATAATAGTGTGGGAAGTAAAGAGCAGAGTTATCTGCAAACAGGTTATCCCCAGGTCTAGGTGCCTGTGTGTATTGAGCCACTTAGAAGTGGGTGGCAGGAGCTCAGGCAACAGTGGGAAATGGTTTATTTTTCTCCTCCTTGTGATGAACAGCAGGATCTAGCCAGGAATAGAAGGAAGCTGAAGAACAGACTTGCATTTATTTATTTGATTCAGACGTATTTATTTTTTTTTTTATGTGTTGAGTAAAGAAGTAAAAGAAACACAAATCTACAAGAAAACCATCAGTTCAGGTAGGATACAAAATGGTAAGGAATGTATGGATTTCTTTTTCTTTAGATCTTGTCCCTGAATTTGCTGACATTGATAAAACGAACCCAAACTGTGTGGTTATCGGAGATGCAGCAGAAAATTTCTCCTATGCAAACCTTAATGAAGCTTTCAGAGTTCTGATTGGATTGGAGAAGCCTGTTTTGATCTCCCTTGGAAAAGGGTGAGTTGAGCACTGCTTGTTTCTCCCTCTTGTCTTTCTATTTTTTAATTTCACCCAATGCCTTTGTACTTAGTGGAAGCCAGATACTGGCTTTCACGCTGCCAACTTCTAAGTGGTTCACTGATGTTTCTAAATGGAGAGGTTGATCTGTTGAGTTACCTGTCGATGAAAGATCCTTAGTGGATCTGTGAGGATCCACACTTGGCCTCCTGTCTTGTCACTTTTTTTGTAGTCTTTCTAGAGATACAAGGAGAAACTGAAGTGAGAAGGTAAAGGGTGGTATGGATGCAGCACTCACTGGGATGAGACTCAATTCATCATTGTGCACATTTGCAGAGAGCACTGGCAATCACTCAGCATGCAATGCCAAATCCTCCAGCTAACTTGGCAAATGCTCATCAGGAGGTCTCTGTGGTGCACTGGGTAGGGCATCTCTTGAATTTCAGTTCTTGATGGTCATCTTTTCTGCAATGCCCAAACTCCACCGAAGCTGTAGTGCAGGTGGGGATATCTGTCTGCAAGCAAAGTGTGGTGGCTGAGGAGACCTGAGGGGAGAGCCCAATGATATACTGAGAAATGTATGACCTGCAAAAGCCCCTCTGCTTTTGAACTGACAAATTGGTTGCTTTGTTAGTATAGGTGTCAAAAGATATTTTTAATTATACTCTGAACATTAAAGTGAAATTTTGACTACTTACTTGCATAGGCAGAAAAAGTCCAGTTCAGGAATTTTGAATGTTTTAGTTAAAACGTTCATTTAGATGTGTTCTGAGGTTGTGAACAGGTGGTTATTAATGACAATGCTGAAAAACAACAAATCCCAGTGGCCTTTGAGGAGTTATTCTTATCTGTTGCCCTGTGTATGGACTTAAAAAAGAACATGCATGTTTAGTTTGTGGAAACCATAGAGACTTTTTTTCAGTGGTTCAATAGACCATAATGAGCGTGAAAGCCCTTCTGAGTTTGTGGGGTATTGATCCAGAAGGTAGATCTTATCAGCGAGGAGCAGTTAAATCCATTGTGTTGACAATCCTTTCACTCACATGCTCTGATCCTATAAACCAGGGAAAAAAGTCCATGCAATTTTTTGTGTTGGAAGGATAAGGAAAAGCCATTATAAGCCAACAGCACAGCTGCTAAGTATGTGAAATAAACAAGCGTGGTGTGGCATCATTCCATCTTTCAAAATGAAATACAGAACCTACTTTCAAGATTGCAACATGAGCAATGCCAGAATGCCTTTGTGCCTTCTGCATATAAAAGTGTTTATTTGTTTAGTCCTTCATGGATGTAGACAGCTCCAGAGCAGGCCCACAGTTTGTTCATTTGGTGGGGTGTGGGTTTTATCATTTATTTTTATTTTTTATTTTTTAATGAAGAATAACCCATGTTTGGATTTCCTGAGCTCAGTTTTTGCTCTTCTACAATCGAACTTCTAGGTACTGTAAATAAGAGTCCTGCAGAAATGGCTGAATAAGTTACTCTGGTAGGTAAGTTCTCAGACCTGATGAATGGAGACTATAAACTGGATGAATTGCTTCACAGTTTATAGCTAAGATGCATCATCGATGCCAAGAGTCATGTGAAAAAGACAACAAACCACAGGTCAGCTTTCTTGCTCATGTGCAGAATCAGTGTGCGAGGACCTGAACAACTCCTCTACCTGGAGCAAGCAGGTTGATTTCTGTTAAGTTTTAGTTCATTCCGTGGAAAAGGAAAGCATCAGAGTCAGTGAAGCAGAATGCCCTCCTCCTGAAAATGGAGTGATTTACATTTAGCATCTGTTTTGGGCTGAGAGTGGGAATTGGCTTTGTAATTTCTTCTGTCATGCCACTGTCAGAAAATTAAGCTGTTTACGCTAGACTATAGAAGGTTAATGGCTGTTCTAGCAAAGGTCAAGTGGTCATTTTAAAAGGAGGCTGTGCTGAATAATCGAAAATGGCAGAAGGATAAGGCATAAAATCTTCACTGACTGCTCATCCTACTTTTTTTTTCTGTCATACAGCAACCCATTTTTGCTCTGATCAGAAGAGCTCAGAAGACCTGGGTTGACATGAGTGGTTATTCCAGAAAAATTCCATACAGACTGTAATTAATTTTGTGAACTTCATAGCAATAGCAACATTTTTGGAAAGAGTAAAATCTAGTTTTGAGGACATTCTCAGTCCTGATAAAAATAAAGGCAAGTGAAGGCTGATGACAAGCAATGGTGGTCGCCTGTCTGGGGCCTCCTTCCAGATTTACTGAAGGAGGTCTTGCATCTACCTCTGCCTCTGATCAAAACAAGAGCAACGCGCCTGCTGTCCTTTGTGAGAAACTGGTACCTTGTGAAGTAGAAAACGGGTCAACTTCATCCCTAAAATAAACTTGAGGAAATCCCTTTCAATGAGTAGAGTCGTGTCCCAGCTGCCAGATGGGCACCTGGTCTGAAATCTTTGCACAGTGCTGAGCCTGCTCTTTACTTAATTCCTGGTGCTAATTTAAGGCTTCAGAGTTTCTGATGACTTGACTTTTTGTTGCAGCCATATGGACATCTGTATAGGCAGAGAAATAATAAAATGTAGTTTCTTTGGATTTAACTGCCAACATTTTCATTTCATTGGAACTTTATCACTTTCATTTCCAGACGCTACTATAAAGAAACTGATGGTCTGAAACTTGATGTTGGAGCATATATGAAGGCATTAGAGGTATTTTATAGCTTGCATTATGCTTACTCGCTCTGTGCACCTTGTTAAAGAGTCACTGGCATGAATATGGGTCATCATCTGTAATTACTCTCCTTGGTGGAGGAAGTTTTCACAGATTGAAACCCATTTGCTGCATTCTAAAGATGACTGGATTTATATTGTTCATTTTTTTCTACATTTAAACTTCTACCATCATGGTATCTTTATTGGAAGCGAGGCTCTTGAAGGAAGAAACTGGAAAGCAAAAACACACCATATTTTCTGCAAGATATCCAAGAAAAAACTGAGGGTCCATTAATGTTTGGCATAGCATTGTTAACACAGCCCCTTGCCCTTAGCAATTTACAACATGAAGTCCTTATTCAGCAAGATACTTATGTGCAGTCTGTTTTTAAGCCAAAGTCTGTGCAGAACCCAGTAGATAAACTGACCTAAGGGTGAGAGAAGGGAACAATCATTACACTCCTTTAAAGAGGCTTGCAGAGAGATTCTAAAAAAATTCATACTGAGTGAATGTGAATAATAAAACAAAATACACAAGCACAGAAGATAGTGGATGTAACATATGCTTGAAGCACATTCATTTGGATAAGTATGAGTTTTGGGGAGATTTTCTGCCTTCCCAAAAAGTTTGCACTTTTCATCATCATGGAACAAGCTAGAAATGCTTTATGTTTTCAGGTTTTCAGCACGTTGCTGGGGAACAAAGCTTTTCAACTCCGACTGGTTACTTTAGCCATTAAAAGTATGCTGGGAGGTTGAATGAACTCTCCACATCTTTTAATGTGAAGGTTATTTGTTATTTCTGTCAGAGTGGGGCTCTCACAAACTGGAAGGATACTGGAACTCACTTGGTAGGCTGCTGTCACGACAGAGAATCAAGCAGGTTTATAGCTCAAGATGCTTCAAGAGGACTTTCTCTTTTGACAGAGAGCACTGAACACTCCTGTTATCCAAGCTACCAGATAGTAATCTTCAACTGCTAACCCATCGTGTTATTTAAAGCTGAAAATCAATAATTACATACTTTTTATACAATTGACTGAAGCTACGAAGTTGAACAAATCCTTTTCTGATCTTAATAGTGTTATCTGTGTCTTCCTCTCTCTTTTTTTTTCCAGTATGCCTGTGATGTTCAAGCTGAAGTAGTGGGAAAACCAGCAAAAGCGTTCTTTGAGTCAGCCCTAGCAGAAATGGGAGTTGCACCAGAGCAGGTAATGGTTCTGAATGATGGAAGATGTTGTGCTTCACAAGATAACAGCTGCTCTGAGGGCTGCAGGAGGGGGATTTGCAGCTAAAATGTTATTTCCTTTGCTATCACATTTGCTGGTTTTTTTAGTACAGTTCCTAAAGGGAAAGACGGGAAGCACCGACTGGCCCAAATCCCCTCTCATGTTGCTGCTTTCATCAGGCTTTCCAGAAACACACTGAGTGTGTGGGCTGCTCCCTGCTTGCTTAGTACAGCCCATTTTTTCCCTCTCTATTTGTGCCCTCTTTATTGATCTGTTGTTATATCACACAGGACATAAGGATGAGTACAAAACGACTAACAGACGGCAGTGAATTACAAGGTAATAACTCCATCACAGGCTTCTGGTGACATCATAAACAATTGGAGTGAAGTTTGGGTGGCTTGTAGGTCCCTGGAGCCCGGAGATGAAATTATGGCCCTGTAATTCACTGTGTGCTTGAGTTTTACTTTATTATAGAATGAGAAGATGGAAAAGACCTAGTAGGCCATCTCATCCATCTCTTTCCCCATGCAGGAATGTTCCCTGCTCCATGTTTATCCATGTTTTGTCCAGAGAGTTTTTAAGTGAGCAAACAGCAGCCTTTTCAAAGCTCCCTAGGGACAGTATTCAGAGCTTAGTAGATCTCATGGGCAGGCAGCTTTTTCTGACATTCAATGAAATGATCTCCATTTAAACAATATATCCTTCTTTTCATTTTACTCTAGGTAACAACCAAAAAATAACTGGTTTCCTTCCTGGATGTTTTCTTTTTCCAATTATCTCTAGGCTCCTTATCATTACAGTGGCTTTCTCTTACTAAAATTGTGTGTTTAGCTCTCAGCAACTTTCCTTGCAGTTCAGTCCCTCTGCCCCCTAAGCCAGCATGGGGTTCTTTTCTCTGCTGCCTTCAGTTTGTCAATATCTTCCCAATAACATGATAGCTCAGCCTGAACAAAATATCCTAGATATTGAGCAATTACTCGATCCATTCATCCAACCAACAAGCCAAAAAATCAATTTCAGAAACAGAATGGCATCTGAAGAAAAAGTAGCTGGAAAAAAAGAAAGAACAAAAGAAAGAAAAAAAAAAAGCCCACATACATAACTCAGCCCTTTGATTCTATGCCTCTCAATTAGAGGCATGAAGATGTGTTTTCATTCTGCTTGTATGAGATGTGAATGGCATGCTGCTCTGGGCTTTTCCAAGGCTCTGTATAAAGCCATTGCTTGCCCTTTTCCACAGGTAGACAATGTGGTGGTCCTCAAACTTTGTTTTACCCACTTTGCCAGCGTGTCAGCCCCTACCACTGTGGGGAACATCATTACAGGGATATGTTTCAACACAAGACTGCAACACCGCAACTCGTTTCTCAGCGAGTTTCTTGTTTCTTGTTGCCCTGGGGAACGAGATTTGAACAGATGATTTAATCATAGAATGATCTGGGTTGAAAAGGAGCACAATGCTCATCTAGTTTCAACCCCCTGCTGTGTGCAGGGTGGCCAATCACCAACCCAGGCTGCCCAGAGCCACATCCAGCCTGGCCTTGAATGCCTGCAGGGATGGGGCATCCTGTCAGCATCCTTGGGCAACCTACAACAAACTATAGAAGAGCATGCGGATTTTCCTAACTTCTGAGTGCTTAACTTTGCAACTTTAATGCTCTTTTGAGGAAGATTATTTTTGGGTTGTATTAGTCATACAAAATAATAAAAACTCAGAGTATGTTGTTCAGTAAGGTCCTTAATCAGTAGCACATTGTGTTACATTTTAATCTGTCTCCTGACTGAGCTTTATGTCTTTGTAATGGCAAGATGAGGACTGGCTTTCCTAGCCTTTCCTTTTATAAAATGTTTGCCAGTAATTTATTCCACCTGTGGAATGCATTTAATCCATTAAAGTATTCTAGATGAGCTGTGCGTTTGAAAACATATTACAGTTTTCTTTTACCTGATGTTTAATGAGAAGTATCTTTTTAATAAAGCTGTCTCACCACAGTAATGCTAGACAGTGGCAAACCTGAAATTTCTCAAGCCACTTTAATCAATAGAGTTATCACCAGTCATTTCCCTTGGTAACTGCTTCTTACTGAGACCCTGACTTTACCTTCTGCTGCCAAGATGTTTTCAGCCTGCACTTAGAATGGGAGGAACTCCCTGAAGTCCAATTTTCATTTTAACCTTTCCTCAATGGCCTAGAAATAACAGATTGCCAGTATTACTTTAATAGATTGGAAATTTAAACCTCTTAGAGGTAACCAGATTTGTCTTATGATTCAGTAGTATGACAAAGAATAACACATCTTAAAGGTTACCGAGATACCTAATTCGTATGTTTTAAGGCAGCTGTAACAGTGGGTGATTTTTACAGCTTTACAATAAAACCTAAATAATGTTAAGGTTCCTCTAGTTTTATATAATCATAAAGAAGTTCTATCTGTAGCAAATTGTCCTGCTTTGCCCGGAGTTATGGTGGGTCATACCGGAGTGCATAAAGCCCTGGCAGTTAACCAGTTCCATTGCTGCCACCTGCACAGCTCAGGTGGGGGTCAGCAGTGCATGAGAGCAGAGCGGGGTCACCCCCAGATCTGCTGCTGTGCAGCCATCCCTTCCCCAGTCACCAGGATAATGGGAAGGTTCTCCATCTCAAGAAGAAGAGTTAAGCAGCCACATGAAGTTTCAAACACTCAGGGGGAAGTTCTTCACTACGAGAGTGGTGAGGTGCTGGAGCAGCTGCCCTGAGAGGCTGTGGATGCTCCATCCCTGGAGGTGTTCAGGGCCAGGTTGGATGGGGCCCTGGGCAGCCTGGGCTGGTATTAGATATGGAGGTTGATGGCCCTACATGTGGCAGAGGGTTGGAGATTCATGATCCTTGATGTCCCTTCTAACCCAAGCCATTCTGTGGTTCTGTGATTTTGTGATTCTATGATTCACTGGCCTGGCACCTTTGGAAATCTGCCCTGGAGGTGTCATGTATTTCTTTTTCTGTTTCACCTGCCTTGTTGTACAAACTCTATGGGATCAGAGGCCACAGGTGATGCCCTGTGCATGTTTGATGTTCGCACAGCCTGGATAGAAATGTAATTAACAGAATTATGGGATCTTGAAGCCTAGGAGATTACCAGCTGGGCCATGGGGAATAGGGAGAAAGGTAAATGCATCATATTTCTTGGACAAAGGCTCTTAACACATCAAGATTTTGTGCAGCAGCTTTATTTTATTTCATTTTATTTCTACATTGTTGGCACACTTAGCTTGGGTTATTAAGCCTATAGCAAAAATCTGCTTTGGCTTAAATACTTTTGGCTCTAGAATCATTCATTGTATTAAATACTCTGCTGAAGCATGCTTCCCCCTTTGAATCTTCATGTTTGCACCTTCAGCCTCTAACATATTGTGTGTGAGCTCCTCCCAGCAAGCGGGGCATTGCAACACAGGCAGAGCTAGGTAGTGGGGAATAAGGGCTAGTTTGACTGGAACGATGCAGTGGCAATGGCTTTGCTCAGCTTTGGCACACGTCTGCTTTATTTATCATGGTACAGCCACACACCATCTCTCATCAGCTGTAGGGTTTAGGGAAATATGAATTATCCCCATCTTAATTCTGTAATGATTTTCTAACAGCCAGAGAGACGTCTCACTGCATTCTTGTCCTTTCTAATGATTTTTTACTTGGTGTAGAACAGTACCTTCCCCAGGCGATTGAATGGATGAATGGTGTGGTTCCTGTGTAAAATTTGAACGCAAATGGGGATCTTTTGATTCCTTCTTTCTGTGGGTATATGACCTTCCAGTTTTATATTTCTTTCTCTTCTTACCATATTGCAGTCAGAGAGGAAGTTAAACCCAGGTTTGACAGGTAGAGTTTTTTTTATTTCCCTTGACAGCGCACCTTTTGACCTCTATCTTCTTGCCAATGATTTTTTAAATCCTAAATGATTTGGGAATAATTGCTCCTCCTTTAGTGATTATTGCCCTTCACCGATAGTAAATCTGTGAAATCCCCCGGGGCTGGAGTACATTTTGGTATGCGTATGCCACAAGCTGGCCTGGACAGGCATCGCTGCTCATGTGCAGCTGCACTTGCAGAGCTGCTGTGAGTCTTGCAGGAAAACTTGCCTGGATGGAGTGAAATACAGCCCTGGTGAGCGCGCTTCTCCCCAGGGCTCAGAGCCACCCTGCTCTGCCCTTTCCTGTGTTCTGAACACATTCATTTCCAGTGTTTTGAGGATCCAGGAGTGAAAACAAAGGGTATACACAAAAATAAGGGGAAAAAAACAGAATCTGGCAAAATTGTTCTCTGCCAGCTACTGTTACCGATTTTCCCCCAAGCTGCCTTGAGAAATGTAATCACTCCCATCATTCTGTTCTCTTCACCTATGTATTCATGCTTTATTTACTCATTACTTGAAATCAACCCTTCCTCATTTCATGTTTGGTGCAGTGGTAGGGAAAGGTGAGCTATCTGCAGGGAACCATTCATCTTTCTGGGAGCACGTGTGTTTCCATAAGCAGAGCAGATAAGGAAAATCATCCAGTAATGAAAGGATGACAAAGGATTGAGCCTTCTAACGTGTGGTGGCTTTGAAGCAGTTTGTGGGCAATGCTATCTGTCCCAAAGCCTCCTGCTGCTCTTCCCCTATGGCCATGTTTCCCCAGCTCTGTGATCCCATGAGTCTTTGTCTCCTTGCTCCTTACAGAGGCTCGCAAAGGGTGATCGCAGAGGTTTTGCTCTTAGGCAGAATGAAGCAAGGGTGTGCATATATAAACTGCTTCAAAACAAACTGCTTCAGCATGGAACCAGACAAATGAGCCTTGACTTGCAGGGATGGCCTGTTACATCCCATCACCTGAGGGATGATGATAATCCTTCACATGAATGGTATTTAAAAGCAACATGAAAGATGAACTGGGCTGGTAGCTACTGTATGTAATCTTGCATGCTGTTCCTGATGCATTACTCAAAAGAGGATTTGTGTTTTATCAGCTGAAGCTGTTCCAGATGTGCATGTACCTATCTCAGTAGGTACATGAAGGCTCTCACAAAATAATCTGTTTAGATGGGCTGTAGGTGTATCCTGAGGTTTCCTTTATGTGCTATTTAGTAAGTAGGAGAAGGTTCTAATCTGATGACAGATTGTAATCAGATGACAATTAAAAATAGCTCTGCATCCTTAGTGCTTTTAGTCTTCTATATATTTAACTTAATCCTGCCCAGTAGACAGCTTACAGAGTGGGAACTGCACTTTTTGTTGAAATAGAGATGACAGAAGGAAACTGATCACATCTTTCCAGCTGCATAGCCATGGCCCTGGCTCATGCATGGCACTCATAGCTCAGTTCCAGAGCAGCTCCCTGCCTGACAGCATTAAAGAGAACTCTAAAGAGTTTCCCTTATGTCTCTGGGGACACAGAAGGAGGAAGAGGGTATACATGCATGCAGGGGAAAAGAGGGCCTATGTAAGGTGCTGCCCTGGATCCCACTGGGGTTTGGTATTGGTACTGTGATGATGGGATGGGTTGGAGCAGAGAGAGGTAAGAGCAGGACAGAGCAGGACAAGCAGGGTGGTTGCTTGCCTAGTTGGGTATGTTCATGTCATGAAGTAGCACAAAGCAAGTGTCTACCCAAAAGCATATTGCAAAGTTCACATCCATGGAGCAGGAGACTTTACTGTGGAAAGTATGAATGCAGAAAAAAGCAATTGCTGCATGAATTCTTATTGAGATTCCGTGGCAAGAAGGGATTGGAAAGTTTGGGTAAATGGATGTGTGATCAGGAGAGCAGCCAGGAGGAGTTTAGGTCTTTGTGTAGGTTGCTAGTTGGATTGTCGTGGAAATTCTGTTCACATTCTGGTGTTCCCATTTGGATATGGGTCAGCTGAAAAGGTATAGGGAAGAACTGCAAATGTGCTGAGAGGGATGAAGAAAATTGGAGCAAATGTGTTTCAGCTTAAGACACTGACTGTATTTATACACTCTGGAAATTCATTTCGTGGAGAGAACGCACAAGATACCAAACCATCACTTTCCAAGCTTGATGATTAGCTGAAGTGATAACTGAAATTATGCCTGCTAGAAAGACTTCTGCTTTCAAAATGTAAAAGCAGTTTCTTCAGTATGAAAAGCAATGCTTTCCTTACTTTTCCTTACTCTTTACCTTTTTTTGATAGTGGGCTCAGTTGAGTTCATTTGTCACGTTGTGCACAAATTGATAAATTAGATTTTGCACTCATGGAAGACTTCCCAAATTTTTATATGAACCTGAAAATGGCTTGGAATCAAACTCTGTAAATTACACATTTCAGTGATCACAAGCTTAAGGTCTTGCCTAGCTCTTAGAATATCAATTTTAAGGAAATGTTTGAAAAGAAGAGCTTAATTTAAACTACTTGGAGCATAACATAAATGCATGGTTAGGAACGGACCAGGACTAACTTCATAAAATTCAACATTTTCTTTGAACTGCGTGCCACATCACTTTGATTTTCGTGATGGATTACAAATTGTACAGATGTATACTGCACCAGTATATTGCTCAAGGAGCTATCGCCTGAATTATATTCAAGGTAGAATGACATTTAATCAATACGGTGACAATCTTATCTTGTTTAATTTGTCTGATGGCAGTATTAAACATCAAATCAAGCTGTTTATTATGTCAAAGGAGCGTGAGGGATGGCAGAAATAAAATTCTCTTGACACCCATTTTTCCATATTTCACTGCTGTGACAGGCCATCATGATTGGAGATGATATCGTGAGCGATGTCGGAGGCGCCCAGCAGTGCGGGATGAGGGCAGTGCAGGTGCGGACGGGGAAGTACAGGTCAGTGTGCTCCCACAGCCTTTGCTCCACCTGGGTCATGGTGGAAAGAGGGGAAATGGCTGCACTCAATGCTTTTTTGCACTTGCCTTTTGGCCAATCCACGCCATATTCTTAATTCTCATGCCACGCGTTGATTTCTAAAAGAAGAGTTATAGTTTCAAACTTGGTACGCCTTCTGAATAGTGCTTCAGATTGAATGCATGAGACCTGTCTGGTTGTTCCTTTTCTGTGCCTTTTTACGGAGTTTTACCTGTTGATGGCACCCATTTGCCACCCATGTCCATTTGTTGCCTGAACAAACACCTCTTTGTGCAGCCTTAAGGCTTGGCTGCATGATGGTGCTTTCCTTTGCAAAATGCATCTTGAGTAAAGACTGTGAAAGCAGCAGAAAGGGGAGGCATGTTTTCTTTTATCCTGGCTGGATGTGGCTCTGGGCAGCCTGGGCTGGTGGTTGGTGACCCTGACCTTGGCAAGGGGGTTGAAATTACATGATTGTTGTCATTTTCAATCCAGACCATTCTATGATTCTATGATTTTCAAGAGATATTTTCTGTTAAACTACTGCTGTAATACTTCATCTAAAATTACAGCTATAGTTTTGCATCACATTTAGTGCACAGAACTGGTTTGTTTCTTGGGTTTTGCTTATTTATTTTTATACTACTGTGAGTGTTCTCCGCTTGATATGAGACATGTCTGAATCTTCTAGCAGCATCAAGATGTTTAATTAAACTACCAACTAGGTGGTCCCTGTGGGTTACCTCTCAAAGCCCTGTGAAGGACTCTGTATGTCTCCTCTTTTCTCCAGACATATTTTCAGCACAGAGAAGTCTGGAATGTGAGAGCTGTCTTTCCACTTCATGTCTAAATCAGAGTGAGCTTCCGCAGACTTGCTCACCTCTTTCTAATGGCCCTTCAGACCCTTCTCCATGCAGGTGTCTCCATCATCATGTGTGTTCACTGACAGAGGAGCTATTGATACCTGCTCCTGGCAGCTCCTGGTAGAAGACTTGAGTACAGTTATAAATATGGCATAGTCCAGGGGTGCCCAGTGGAAAATGAAGCCACTATGCACTGCCCAAGCAAGGTTGAAGTCAACTCAGGGTGACTCTCTAAATGCAGTGCAGACATCAGTCCCTACATTTAATGTTTGGACTCAGCCATACACCTTGCAGTAGGCATGGTTTGGTAACAGTATCTGTAATTTGATGTAAGGTGAGCTGTAGGATTGGTGCTTGCCACTGACTACCTGCAATGTCAGTTTTCAAGTGTTTTTTCTCTCTCTTAATTTGAGTTTACATAGGTAAATGAAATTATTCTGATGGACTAGTAAGTGATGATTTCTGAGGAAGAAAGTATGTCACTTGTAATATCATGGTTACTTATCTGTGATTTGTGTAATCCTATTAACTCCCTACAGGAGAATTAGGATTGAACGGTTGTTTTTTCTCTGATATTGATCATTAGGAAGCATTTTGTGAATCCACATCTTAATGTCACACAGATACCCGTATCAGTGAAGGAGGTCTGTGTGACAACAGAGAGAAATTAGACCCTGGCTACTGAGGGAGTCTGCTGACACAGAGCAGTGTGCTGCACCCAAGTACCTCTGGATGGCACCATTAGTACATCTACATCACAATTAGTTACCACTTCGGGAGCAAGCCTGAAAGCCAAGGCTGTTTGTGCAAATGAAGGTAAAAGCAAATCGGCTTCAGGGTTTTACTGGAGATGCTGAGTGTTGGCATGGTGGGATTTCCAGACATTTTGGTTGTGAGAACCTTGCAGTCCAGAATATGGGGCATCACCCCAGCTGGGTTGCTTCTGTGCTGAGTAATTTTTTCCATCTCCACCACAACGGTGGAGTCTTCAACAAAAAGGATGCAAAGCTGATTCCAAAGTACAATAGACAATAATAAAGTAGAAGAATTGTTGCAGGAGCATTTCACATCACACTGCTGGATATGGGGAAATTACAGGTCTTGCAGAGGTTATCCCAGTCAAGGCATTTTGCACATTGTTCTCCAGGTCCAAGGGATTCTCTTGTTCTCTTCCACTCTTACTGAGATGCTGACCCTATAACACCTTGTTATCTGCTGTGCATATCGGGCAGCATTCCTTCATTCAGGAGCTGCTGCAACTTATACCAACAACCCATGGACCTGCTGCCAACCAGGGGTTTCACACTGCAGCACAAAAGACAGCATGCGAGCTAAGGCTTACAGTACAATTTATGGTATTTCAAAGGGACTCCAGTGACTGTGTGTAGATTACAGAATACAAAGCAAATTCTGTGTTACAGGCTGAGGTGTTTGGCTGTGCAGGTGATTTGGGGTCCAGGGAGGAGCAGAAGGGGTATAAGGAAAGCTTATCTGTCTGTATCTATGCTTACCTTCTCAAAGGCACTTAATCCTCCAACAGTACATTGGAGTTGCACTCTTCTTCAGCAGCCAAACCATGTGTGGAGGATATAAGTCCATAAAGTGTAATAAATCACAGAATAAAGTTTCTTTTGACAAAAGCAAGGGCAATAATGGAAAGCTGTAGGGGTAAAGTGGTGTTTGGAGTCGATCTTGGTTAATTTGATTCTCTGACACAGGGTGAGTAGTTTGGTTGACCAAGTATGGCCTTTTTAGGTGTAAACCCCAAAAGAGAAGTGTGAGCTGGTCTGCTGGTGGTGTCACCACTCTGTTACCCCTTCCTGCTGCGGTGTGCAGAACAGGCCTTTGCTGTGGACTCACAGCTGGGTATTTATTTCACCACCACAGCTCATAGTGCAACAGCCCTGAGCTCTCTTGGAACACTGCACATGAAAGAGAGTGGGGATGAAAGGAGAAAAGGGGACCAGGAAAGCTGCTGTCTCTTGCTGGCTCTGCCTCTGCTCTGTGGAAGAACTGGGTCAAGTTACTTCATGTTGCCCGTCTTCAGTTTCCCCACTTTATAATTATCCTTTGAGAATAATTATCCCGAGTTTATTAAGAAAGTGGTTTGTGATCTGTTCCTCTTATCTGATTGAAGAAAACATACTGCATCTGTAGGGATTTATAGGAAATCAGCTCGCTTGATGTGATTGAGATGTTGTGACAAAGACCTTTCAGGCTGACATCATCAATTGATTAAGGATTCTGATAAACGGGGTGGGTCTTCATCATAACTCTCTAAATAAAGGTATTAAATGATTCTAAAAAGCAGATTTTCACCCACAGATAGATGGACAGCTATCACAGCCTGTAACAGTCAATGAAAGATCATGGCTTGTTTCGTAAAGCAGCAGTCACATCCTAATGCTATGCAGTGTTGCTGCTTGAAATAGAAGCAGCATCACTCCCACCCTTGCTTTCTTGTTCACTGAATTACTAACCACAGCCAAGACGAACGACTTTATTAGCTTGTTCATGTTTCATGGGGCCTGATGGAGCATACCAGAAGTGGGTACTGAAAGGAACACGCAGCGGCACTCCCTTAATGCTGAAACAGAACCAGAGGCATTTTGATGGCCTCACAATCCTGGTGATGACGCCCGCTTCACATATTAGATGGAAAGACTTCCAACCCATATTTGCGCTATAAAAGATGTATTATAATTTATGTCAGTGTCTGAAGCAATGTTCATTAAGATCCAGTGTCAGCAAGTCAGCTTTCGTTCTGTTCACAGCATCAGAAGGCGTTGTCTTAGTCACCATTCATTACACATCCAAATCAGAGTTTGTTCCCTCCACATGAGGAGCTTTGCATGTGTTTATCAGTTTCTTGACCACACTTTGCTTACTGTCATCTCTGGTTCAGTTTTGTGAGGGAAGCCCAGAGTTAATACTGCAGAACCTTAGCATATGAACATGTCTAATGACAGCCTTACATTTCGCCATGTGTTCAGAAAGTCTAGGCACTCGAATTAGAGTTTAAGCCTCAGGTGCTGTAGAAGTGAAGGGCCTATGAACAGGTCTAATTTCTTGATGTTGTAACAGGGTGTTACAGTCCAACCAGCTGCTCGTCATTATAGGATATCATAGAATCATAGAATCACAGAATGGCCTGGGTTGAAAAGGACCACAATGCTCATCTGCTTCCAACCCCCTGCTGTGTGCAGGGTTGCCAACCAGCAGCCCAGGCTGCCCAGAGCCACATCCAGCCTGGCCTTGAATGCCTGCAGGGATGGGGCATCCACAGCCTCCTTGGGCAACCTGTCCAGTGTGTCATCACCATCTGTGTGAAAATATAACTAACTGCAGTGCAAAATAAAGCAATGCACTGGAAATACTTTACCACTGAACTGCAAGTGGTGAATTTGGAGGTAGAAGATTTTAGCATTTGACTCCAAAGAGTCTTCCTTGGTGTGACTTCAGTTATTCTGTTTCTCTACCTGTATCTAGCCATATTTTCTATAGTAGTCCAACTGCTACATCTGAAACACTGATGAACGGAAGCAATTTGCATGTAGCAAATCAAGCTGGTAGTGAGCACATCAGCTTGTACTGCACTTTTGCTTTCCCTGTTTCCCACAATGTATTCAAGCTGTAAAGGTTTCCATTCCTCCTACACTGAAATGAAATAAAGGACGCTGAGAGGACAAGACACTACTGCAGCAGCTACCAGCATCTGCGTGGGTACCACCAGAGCCTGTGGCAACTTCAGACTGGCAAGCTGCTTGCCCAAAAAGATTCTGTTTCTCTCCTCCCACAGATACGTAACTCACAAGCCCAGAAAAACAGCCCTGGTGGCTGGAATGAGTGAAAGGAGGCAGCTCAGGGGCTTTCCAGGGCTGCTCTCCTGCTCTGCACCTACTTCCACTGCATGCACCTGAGGTCTGTCTGGGAACTGCCTGTCCAAGGGGATCTGCAGCATCCCAGAGGGCAGGGCCACCCCTAGCTCCTGTTGGACACCCAGCTTCCCTTTCTGGTATCAGCCCCAAAACCACAGTCTGCAAGATGGGACAGGAAACAGGCTCTCATTTATTTTTATCTTTAGCAGCCTTTTCTCAGTGCCAATGTAATGTTGCAGTAGAAAAATTCCTCAGCAGAACAGTCATGGGAGCTGGTCGAGCACAGCAGTGTTTCTCAACACTTGTCGCTTGCAGAATGCCAAGCTGCATTAGCTTGTTCAACATTTGACAGCAATGATGAATACCATACCAATAGCTAACTACTTTATTTCTGTAAAAATGCTAATAAGCGTGTTGAAATGTGCTGCAGCAATGGCAGAGCTGGGACAGCTGCACAATTGTGGTTTCGTTTGAGATTTCCTTTTTTTAAAACGCAGGTTCCTCTTCTCACTGTGGTTTTCTGTCGTAGTTAAATGCCATCCCAGCTCTTGGGTTGGTGGAGTTCTGCACTGGCTCTCAAACGGAGAGCATGGCAAGAGGGGACTGCTCTGATACAACCAAAGCACAGCATTCAATTCAAAGGAAGGAGCAAACAAACAAGTGAGAAGCAAGCCAAATTAGCTGCTGATGTAACTCGCTCGAAGCAAATGATTCAGTATCTGAAATTCAATCTTCCTTCTGGCTGGGGCTCCTGCTCACCCAGTAAACATGCTGAGGAGCGGCCGTGCTGGGCAGTACCTTGTGCCTGCACACAGCAACCCAGAATTCATGCTTCAGTGCTGCCAGCCCTGCCTGGGGGTTTCCTGGGGGCTTACCTGGTGACGTTGGTTTTCTCTTCTGATTCTAGGTAAATAAGAGTGAGTTTAGCCAACAAACCCAGGGTGACTGGCTTGAACCCAGCACGTTTTGTGCTCTTGAGATGTTTGCAGGGCTGTCTGCTCCAGTACGTGGCCATGTAGCTGTAGGTGATCAGAGGCAGAATGTGGGGTCTGCAGACATGAGGCTTTGGGACTGCAAAAGACAAGAGGTGGGGGCTGCTCCCCTTCGGGCTGCCTCTGTTGTGCTTGGGCTGGTGGTTGTTTTTCATGCCCTTTGGAAGACATGATGTGACTTGCCTGGAGTTAAAAATAAAGCACCAGCACTGCCAGGTCTTCTGCACAATTACAATGGCTCCATACATGGCTGCTCATTCCATGTCCCATGTCAAGAAGAAACAGAGTAATGTGAGACAAGGAGGGGGGAGGCTGAGGAGCTGCACTCCCCTCTGCCCATCCAGCACCAAGGAGGGCTCTGGTGGAGATGAAGATAGCTTGCAGCTGACGCTTGGACGTGACTCATGCTCACACATTGCCCTGTAACTATTACCATTCTTACTTCTTTGTGGTTTTCAGTCATTGTCAACAGTGTATATGGTTACACCTCAGCTCTGCTCACTTATAGGTTGCCAAAAGATGAGTTAACGCAGCTTGCTGGGCTGCTGCTTTGAATGGGCTTTGTGTCCTGTGCAGAAGCAGCCAGCTTTAAACCAGAGCCATCCTCCCTCCTGAAAAATGAGGTCCTGCTTTGCTTTGTGAAGAGCTGGGCTGGGCCTGGCTGCTGCACCTCCTGGCTGAAAAACTTATTCATTTTCCTTTTAAATCCATAGAATTGAGTTGAAAGGGACCTTTAAACACCATTTGATGCAATCCTGTTGCAGTGCACAGGGACACCCACAGCTCCATCAGTGCTCAGAGCCCATCCCCTGACCTTGGATGTCTGCAGGGATGGGGCATCACCACCTCTCTGAGCAACCTGTGCGGTGCCTCGCCACTCTTGTGTCAGTGTAGGCTTTCATTTCACAGCTACAGTTATTGTTTCCATTCCCAGTTGCATTCTGAGTGCCACCCCAGGAAGCTGAAGAGGAGTATGTGTCAGTTTTGCCCTTTCAGTTTCCTCTCCCTCCCAACCTGTTTCAGCAGCTGCTAGCATACACCTGAAACATTCACACAGCTATGCAGCCTGCTCTCACATGGGAAATTTGGCTGCACAATGTGTGCTGCTGTGGTGTTGCAGATGGTTATGTTCCTGCAGAATGAAGGGATGCTGCAATCCGTCCTGCTTCAACAGAGCAAACACCTTGTATGAGCTGATCACCCTCATTGCCTTTGCAGTGGGATCTGGGCACTTTCAGCATCACTTGTCCCGGTCAGGTAGATCACACACCATAAGCATCATTGCTCTGCTTTGTAAAGATAGTTTATGTTAATACAGATGCCTATCATGGAGGAGGTGAGCCTCCACCTGCAGCAACACATCACTGGTACCATGCTTCTATGACAAAAGCATGATGGCTTAGAAGCTGGTTGTGGATAATCCATCCTTGGAGGCATTCAGGTCCAGATTGGATGGTGCCCTGAGCAGCCTGATCTGGTGGGTGGCAACCCTGTCCATGGCAGAGGAGCTGGAACTAGAAGATCTAAATGTCCCTTCCAAACCAAGACATTCTGTGATTCTGAGTAGGTTGTGGCTGCTGTGGCTCAGCCCTGTGTGCTACAGGGCCGTTCTTTGTCCCCTTCCCCATCCCCACCATCTCAGGATGCTGCCAGCTTCCAGCTCACATCTGAGGAGCTGTGTTTTTCCCAGTGTGCATTTCCAGAGGAAATGCAGCCAGAAGATTACAAAGACCCAGATAGAATTCAACCCTTTGTTCTGCTTTTACAATTGCAGTTTATCAAGGGTGGGAGCTGGAAGTATTCTGCACCTCTGTCCAGACTGACTGAGCACTGTGGAGCAGAGCAGCTGCAGCCACACTTCAGAAGAGGTTCCTGGGCTGCAGAGCCCCTTAACCTGCTACAAATGGAGCTTTGTTTGAACTCCGACAAGCATTTGCAGTTGAATAACACGAACCATTCAGCTACACTATTGGCTGCCTGGCACTGAAATCAGGCCTAAAAATAGGGGAATGTCTGACCCTGAAGTGAATAATTTTCACTCTGAACCCAGCCTGGCACCCACCCAGGGTGACATCATCTGGAGGAGAAGCTGGAAAAGCTTTCAAAGTGCTGCTTTCCACGAGGGAACTCTAAATGTTGATGCAACTGATAATCAGGCAGCAAATTTGATGTGACTGTGACTCAAAGGAAGGAGGCAATGGGAAGGAAAGGGATGAAGACAGAGGGAGAGGATTGAGACTGCATGTCAGAGAAGTATTTGGGGAGCTTCATGTGTGGGTATCTCAAGGGAAGATGAGAGGAGTACAAACAAGGTTGTTCTCTGGACCATTAACAGAATCCCAGCATGGCTGAGGTTGTCAGGGACCTCTGGGTCCATCTGGTCCAACCCTGCTCGTGTAGCAGTCTGAGGACCATTCCAAGTAAAAGAGGTCCATCCCTATCCACAGTGATTCCCACTGCCTGTGGAAGCACTTCTCTTAGCACAGGGATGTCTGAGGTAGCCAGGCATTGAGTGACCTCCCCTGGTGTCAGAACTGTGATATTCACAAGCAGCTTCATCCAGGCTAACTTCTTGGGATTGTAGCAAAATCTGTGGTGCAGCAGCATCAGCGACCTCACTGTTGGAGTTCTAAATCCTAATTGCCTGAAGCAAGCTCCTCAGATTTATGTGCTAAGTTTCTAGGTCTTCTTTAAAAATGATAATGCATAAAAGATGCAGTAGGCGGCTTTCCTCTGAAAGTCCCCATCCTTTTCAGTCTGGATGCTGCCAGGTGTTGTTGTCCACACTGGAATTTGTAGCTTTTTTCACATGGTGAGAGTTAAATGTGCTGTTTATGTTGGGTGTCTCCATTATCTGTTTGCCTTCTGCCTTTTAAATTCTCATTACATATTTATAATGCTGTTATGGCAAAGATGCCTGGAGCACCACTATGGGCGGTGTTTGGTCTCAGAGTCCCAAATGATGCTGAAAGAACTGCTGTTGCTTTGTAAACACTGTATCAAAAGCTGGTTTCCTGACTACTGCTTGGCACTTCTAACCAACAGTGATAAAGAGGGGGAAAAAAATACCATACAAACCTATAGTTCTAGTAATAAACCAATGTATTTGGCTAGAGACTGAGAGAAGCATTCAGGTATGCATGCCCTTCTCTGGGTGTTCACTCGTAGATCATCACAGCAGTGAAACTCTATTGGAGATGGGCAAACCCTCTGCTGGTTTGTGGACATCTGCCATAGCAGTGCATGCAAACAAGCTGCTCTTCACTCCATCAGCCTCTGGTTGGGATTTGTCTGACTGAGCATTAGAATATTTCGGGCTGCCTGCTGGGAAGAGACCAGCCTGCAGCTGCAAAGGTGTTTTGTTGGCATGGCCTGAGCCTGCCGGAGGCAGATGGTGGCCCAGGCAGGGACAGGAATTGACCTTAATGCAAAGGTCACTGTGTGCTGCCCCTCCAGGTGAGGGCTTGGGCAGAGCTTCTGTGTTTTACACGCTTTCTGTATTACAATTTGAATCCTCTTCATCTGAGAGACCAGTCTCGATTTGCAACTCGATTGTACAACTTTTAGCTGCTGATGTCTGGTACATTTTATTAAGAGGAACCATGTGAAAGGCAAGGCCTTAAACCTTAACAGCTGGAGTAAATCTGGTGTAAGACAGCAGCGAATGCCAGTGTTGCTGTAGGTCAGCTGCTCGATTACAGACCCGTGGCTTCATGGGGCATTAATGGAGCTGACATAAATGTGCACACAACAGAAGAGCTGGCTTTTCTTCTTGCAGGCAGAGCTCTTTGTTTTTCCTTGCCAGTTGAGACATTCTTGCAAACATTCATCTTTAAAGATGACACTTCTTATCTTAAAAATCCATAGAGATGCGGGGAGTCCACTTTCACCAGAGCAAATGGACTTTTGCTTTGAAAAGCCCATTCCTGAACATTTGCCATGACTAACCACCCCTGCTCTCAGCAGTCTTGAGTTCCACCATGTACAAAGCTACGTACAAAGCCGCACTTGTATGCACAAAATCATTTAGAGCTGTGTCTCTTGAACACACATCCCTGCACAGCCAGCCTGCACTTTCCCTGCCCCAAACCAGAGGCAGTACAAATTGCCAAGCAATATTCAGACACTGTGATTGCTTTGCATGCAAGGAAGAGAGGCACAGAGGTTAGAACTAACACTGTCCAAAGGGTCAATTGCTCATGTGCTTAGCTTGCAAGCACTCGAGCATTATATGGAAACATCTGTTCCAAAGGCAGCTTGCAGGGACAGATGTTTGGTCTCAGCACTCCTGTGGATGAGGTCCTGGCTCCCCCCAGGCAGGCACTCAGGAGATCGGTGCGTCCTGAGGAGTATTTGAGTGCTGCAAACAGTGTGTGCTCATGTTTCTGATGCCCTGTCTCCTGCTGCTCACCAGCCTCAGAGGTACCGCTCTCCTCCACTGAGCAGCCGGGTTCCCACACCCTGTGCTGGGTCCTGTCACGTTGTTCTCTGATTGTTCTTAACCTGGTGGTGAAGTCCCTGCTCAAAGGAGCTACTGGACTAAATTCAGAGGGCTGTGTTCTCTGCGGAGCTAAGTACAATGGTCGGCATCAATGGGCTCCGCTGCTCCCTGCTGAAGTGAGTGGCAAGCACTTGGCACCCATTAGAGGAGCAAAAGGACACTTTTTGGCTGAAGCCAAGTCCTGCACTCACAAAGTGGGTACAAAGACCTCGGCTGAAAGAAAAACTTATCTGCATTTAAATCAGCCTAATTAAAGTGGCTATTTCCAGGAGCAGCACTAAGCTGGCAGGCAGCAGCAGCATTGCCTGCCCAAAGTGATTCGTGCAATTACCACCTTTCTGTTTATCTGATATTGTTTTTTTTTCCTATAGCAGTCATCCACGGGATATTGCTTGTGATGACACCTATGTGCTGTACGTTTTAAGTTTAGGAGCAGGAGACTGCTCTTTACAGCAGGTGAGGAGCTGGGGTGTCAGAATTGGGCAGAGCACTGCTGATTTACACCTGCTGGTGCTCTGGGTGCTTAAAAATAGCTTAGCAAGTGTAGGAGAAAGAAAAAAAAAAGCTTGTTCCATCCATCTAGAACACATTGTATACATCAGGGGAAGGAGAGGCATCTGTGGGAGCGAATGCTTCATTTATCAGCATGTGGGCCATTGGAAAGAGTGGATGTGGCTGGGATCATTATAACCGAGATCAGTCTTCTTGGAATGGGAAAGTAACGACAACTCTCATTTTACCAAATCCTCTGAAATTTACTGCCTATTTATTTCACACCCTGGGCCCTTTCCTATGTCAGAGAACCGTCCGGATTTATGGAGGTGCAGCTTAGTAATGTAAATACTTCAGAGATCATCCGCACAACCCGTGGGGCTGCTCTGGTTTCTCTCATTGTCACTGCTCAGGGCCGTGGGAACAGGGAATGCAAACGGGAGCACTGCAGAGGCCTCGTGAGGCACCAGCCAAAATCAGGCTAAGGAGCTCAGAATGCTCTTCTGCCACTTGTTCTGCAGGCAAGCAGTACCTGCCCTTCAAGGCAGCTTGGTGCTGATGGGAAGGGAGCAAAGCTCCTTCTGTCCCATCTTCGTGACTTTGCTGTTTTCTCTCTTTCCAGTTTATCACTGTGTTTTCTTCTTCATGTCTGTGTGAGGAGAGGCATTCTGTGCTCAGAAATATGCCATGCAAGGAAGCGTCGCAGTAGCAAATGCATTTCTGAATGGGAGGGCTGACTGCAGCTTCGTTATGCAAGCTGTGAGTATCCTCCATTGCAACTGGAAACCTCTGCTGGAAGCAGGAGTAACAGCACAAGAAGGAAAATCACTTTGGAACCGTGTAGGTTTTGTTAAATAATAAAAAAAGAGGTTATCCAGCAGGCGTGAAAATGAAGATGGACAAAGGAGCAGAGCTGTGGGCCTGGAAGCCCTTTTGCTGCCATTGTTTTATATTAGAGGAAAATGCCTGGATTGGGGTTTAATAATTATTGCAGGTCTCTTTTGTAGTAAGTTCCTAATTGCTGGGCCTGCCTGCTTTTGTGGGTTTATGAGCTTTGTGCCTTTTGGCTGAGTGTTTACACTTTTATTACCATGAGAGTAACAATCTTTTCCAGCCCAGCATGTCTTGCAGGAGTGTAAATGCATAGCCTTGATGTCCTACTCATCTCTAAAGCATTTGAGGGTTTTAGGGTTGTTATAAGGACACTCATACAAACGACAAACCTGAAAGAAAACAGTGCTCTAAAGAAGACAGAAGGAGAATTTCCTTTGAATCCTTTGGAGTCAGGATTTCAGTCCAAAGGGTTTGGTAGCAATGTAAGCCTTTGTGCTTCCAGACACAAGCCAAATTCTCACTCATAAAATTCAAAAGGAAATTTTCCTTCAGGGCACAAATTCTAATATAAAATCTCCCACATTTTGCTTCTCAACCGCTGTCAGAAGCTGGCCACTGTTGAAAGCAGAGCCAGGAATGAGCTTAGGCTGCCTGAGCAGGCGCAGTGGTTTTCCTGAGCTGTGCATTCCTATGGGAGCACACAGAAGGGGTGCACTGTCACTGCCACTCCACTGCTGTGGTCACCCTTAAGGCCACAGGCTCCAGAAAGGAGCTGTAAATGGGATGGATTGAGGTGACAGGAGAGCAAGGAGGGTTTGAGCCCTGTGTGTCAGAAAGCCTCAGCGCCCCGTTTGCTGCAGCAGCATCTCCACGGTCCTCTGCTCAGCTCCTGTGCTGCCCATCCTGCTCTCCCCTCAAAGATATTTGGCTGTGGATGTTGGATGCTGTTTGCTCTGGCTGAAGGCAGCTGGGAGCCTTATCCACAGGACCCAAAGAACTGGGCAAGGTCTCACAGATCCCACGTCTGTCACTTCCTTCCTGTTCTGTGGTTACTGCCGAAGCGCAGAAGATGCAGGGCTGTTCTTGAGACCTGGGATCTCTTTCAGCTGAAAAAAAAAAAAGCAAAAAAAAAAAAAAAGGCTGTGGTGACATTGTCAGTGCCACAGCTCAGAATGGGGTTTCTCAGAAGTCTCTCTAAGAGTCTGTTGAAAAGTTTGGGAAGCACATGACAGAAGATGCTAAATGGTGTGGTCAGGCGTCAGGCGGGGGTTGGAGGAACCTTCTTGCCCTCTGTCACTGACTGGGATCCTTGTTCCAGCTGCAGCATACAGTATTTTGCACAGAATTGCTTCTTCTGGCACTCTCCTCCCACACACTCGTGTACTAATATGGCCATTCTCAAGGGCTTTGTCCCTGCCAAAAGAAGAGGACAATTAAGAGGAAGCCACAGAGTTTGCCATATAAAACTTACCCACACTGAATCATAACGCAGAGCGCAGTTCCATCCAGACAGATGCTTCCTGGATCAAAAAGAGAGACTGGATCTGGTGGAAATGCAGAAATGGCTTTGCTGTGGCCAGTTCCTGTGGCTGGGCTCCCTGCTGCTGTGTTTGCCCTGTCCCTGCCTGGCTGCACGTCACTGCACGGGCAACTCTGCAGCTGGGGGCTGGAGCAGTGCTGAGCTTCAATGGGCTTCAATTGCTCAGAGGTCCGAATTGAGATGGGTCCCCCCAGCCCAGCAGAGTGCTGGCAGCCCCAGCTGGTGCTGGGTCAGGATGTTATGCAAAAGTTCCTCTCAGAAAGAGTGGTGAGGCATTGAAAAAGGCTGCCCGGTGAGGTGGGGCAGCCACTGTCCCTGGAGGGGTTCAACAACTGTGAAGATATGGCTGATTGCCAAGCAAATCCAGGAGCTACTTGTCTTTATTGGAAACTTCTAGAGGATTGAATAGGCAGTAAACCAACAGTTTTCCATAGCTATTACTCTGCAGGGAATTTGGCCAGGTCTCTGCGTAGCAAACATATAGGACACGCCTGCTGAAATCCATAAGAGCACGATAGAATTTAATCAATCCCATTTGTTCACAAGAAGAGTCAGCCCAGATCCCTGTTGTAAACACCGGGGTAACACTAAAGGCAGCATAAGCTGTTACACAAAGGTACGTGTGTCTCTGTGAACAGAAAACACCAAACCTGCTTTTTTTTTATCTCAACTGACCCCTCCCCTTAGTTTATCTGAGATGCATGCAGTCTTTGCTCATCCTTTCACTTTCCTCACTTTATTATCCCATCCTCTCTCTTTGCCCCAGATTCCTGGCTTTATTTGTTTGGTTCTTTATCCATGGGACCCACGGCAAAGCCTAAGACTGCACAAGAACATGACAGTGCCCTGAGCCCAGGCTGCTGCCCCAGGACCAAGTGCCAGCAATGTCCCTTTGGTGGCACGTGGCAGAAAGCCCCCAGAATTCAGCTGTGGGTGTCCCTTGTGGACTCCCAGATGAGTTCCCAGCGATTGCTGTTGTTTTAAGGGGGTTTTATTTCCAAATAAGTGGCTTTCTCAGGCACGTTTATTATTCCCTTTGGAGACTGTTGATTCTGCTGTCCGTGCAAGCTGTGTGCAGGCAATGAATAGCGATAAGGAACAAGCTATTGGTAGGGTATTGCATGGGCCAACAAGTGTGACTGTGTGTGTGTGATCAGAGATACAGGCAGAAGAGAAACATGAAGATCTGTTGGTAACTGAGACATGTCCTCTGTCTCATTCAGTGCTGCCCTTAGAAATAGTGTGGAAGCTTCGTATATTTATAGGATATCTAGGAAAAGTTGTTCATCTGTGCTGAGTTCTGGTGTTTCATTGCACACCAGCTGCATTTTGTTGGCCACCGACGCTACTGCTTCTCATGGGTAGTTCTTTTTCT